CTTTCTTTCTTTCTTTCTTTCTTTCTTTCTTTCTTTCTTTCTTTCTTCCTTCCTTCCTTCCTTCCTTCCTTCCTTCCTTCCTTCCTTCCTCCCTCCTTCCTTCCTTCCTTCCTTCCTTCTTCCCTCCCCCCTCCCTCATGATGTAGCAGGTTAGTATAGCCTTTTAAACACTAATAAATAAACTGAACAGCTACAACTTATTCATACTTATCAGCCATATTGTTTATTTGCTGCTAAGGAGGAACATATACATCATCAAGATCGTTCCAGTTGACTAAATCCTTCTTAATGTTGTACTTACTTTGGCATGAAGAATTAGCCCTTTGATTTCATTGGAGGCTGTTTTTCAATTTGCTTCTGAAATTACTTTAAAGGGTGCCCAATGTGGGTGGCTGCATTCATTAAGGTATTTTACTGGGTTATTTTCACTGCAAACTGAACTGAAAGACCACCTGCATGGTTTCTTTCATTGGACTTTCCAGCTGTCTGACCAGAAGAATCTTCAGGCCTGGCCTGAATTCAAATCAAGCCCCCAAAATAAAAGAACATTAAATCATTAAATTGACATTAATTAAAACTTTCTCCTTTTGCTGATCTAACGAATATTATGGCCACATGATAAATGGATTAATTGTTTGCTGCTATATAGAGCAAAATAAGGTTGGTTAAATGGTGTGGGACATGTTTCCCCATGTAGTTGCATGAGTTTTACTCCAGCTTAGGCCTGCTGACATGGATGTATTTACAAGATGACTACAAATATTTAGATTCTGCTTATGCTACTTCTTTAATTAAGCAATTGCTGGAATCACATATGGGACTGTGTCATGATTAGTTTGAAGTATGACTTGTTCAATTAGTCACAAGATCTAGGTTCACACAACATGTTGAGTCAATTGCAAATCAATTGCATCTGTCTTAGCGCAGTGCTTGAGCCGCAGTGCATGTCACAGTTATCAACTTCCTAAACCATTTATGATAACTAGAGGTTGGGTTAACAGGCTGTAATTAGGGCTGTACTCTTCTGAGCTTCATGGAGTGGGGAATTCTACCAAATACAATTTCTTCTGTCACCACAGCTTCAGATGAAAAGAACTGGGCCTGGAGAAATTCACTATTGGAACTTTGCCAGAGTTAACATTTGGCAACCTTGCAGAAGGAGTGTGTGCATCATGAATTAAGGTGGTCAGAATCTAAGCATTTTTATTTTCAGGAAAAGGGTTTGAGGTTTCAGTGTATGGATTTGATTTTCAGGCCTTGCAAAATGCACATTTTTCCAAATTGAATCACTAAAGCACAAATATGGATATCTCTTCTCCCTCTTCCCACCCAAATATTTCTCAAAACTTGGAGTTTTATTCTCTGTTAGGTGTCTGAGCACAGCAGAACACAGTGGAGAAAAAAGTTTTATGAAGGTGGACCATTCAGGGTCACAAGTGCACATCCTGTGACAGGCCAGGGAGGCAAGGCAAGCCACATGAAAATGGCAGCCCTCTTCCCATTGATCCCATTAAGCAAGCAACAGAGGGAGCCAGAGGATCAAAACAAGGAGAATTCTGTTCTGTATATGGTTGTATTCCAAATGAGTTTTTATTCCCCCAGAAAGATTAGGTGTATAGCTTGAGGATATTCCCAAAGCCATCAACTGTCTATTTCTTCATCCTCTGTGGTGTTGCATAAATAGTTCCCCCTCTATTTTTTAAATAATTATCAGATCTCATAGAAGATCATACATTTTTCATTAGATTATACAATTCAATTTCTTTAATTTTGAACTGCTTTGAGACATAAGGGGGTAAAAATAAGATGGCAGGCTGACACTTTTTCTAGCAAGTACATTTACACAATGATAAAAAGAAAAAGATTTTGGTGGCTTCATTTACTTCCCTTTTATGCTTGACCTGCTTATGACTTGAAAATGTACAAGCTTATAGTAGACATGGAAAAATGAACAGAATTTATGCAAATCTCCCAGAAAGCTTTGTGCTGGGGAAAAGCAAGTAATCATAAACTGCTCATGTGTAGAAAGGAATTGTTTTTCAGCTTTAATTTCTCTTCTTTGGTTTATGGTTACAGTATTCTTTAGCTCTTATATGGAAAAAATTACAAGGCCCTCTGGGGAGAGAATGAGAACATTGATAAAATTGATAATTGATGTAAGCTTCCATGAGCCAGAATGGTAAATTATAAATTAAATATATAAAATAGCCCCTGTTCCGGTAAATTAATACATAGTATCATAAATTATAAATAAGAGCTTTGGTTTAATCTTGGGCCATTAATCATAAATAAGTTTAAATCTTGGCTGTCTGTTTTCAATTTCTTTGCTGCCTTTGAAAATACTTTTATATTATTACCTGTGATGCATTCTGTACTTAATATAAATCTAAGATCACTTATGTTGCCCCAATTGAATTTAACCAAAAGGAAGATGACTCTGAATTTATTACTATTCCTCATACTCCAAAGAAGTGTATGAATGTGTGGATGTGTTACAAGAAACTACATACCAAAAAGGCAGAAAGTTTAATTAATTACTATTTAATTATATGCAGAATGAGATACCCATTTATAAAATTAATTGATCCCCATATGCACAGCCAACTTTTCTCTCTCACACACAATCTACTCTTGGACACGCAAACACAGAAATGCCCACATAGACCTTATCCAGCTAGCAAGCAAGCAAGAAAACTGAACAGAACAGACAGGAGCAATGAAGTGGTTGTTGCATTTGCAGTAGGCAAGTAAAAAAAGGAAGATGGAAATGAGGCAAGAGAAAGAAGTAACTGGGCAGGAATGCAAAGATAAGAGAGAGAAGGCGTGTTGAAACCCCTCCTTTCCTATTGGGACCCAGGATAACTATGCTGATAGGAGAGCAACATTGGAAACTGTTCCATTAGCTCAATTCCATTGGCACTAACTGGCTCTCAAAGGTTTCAGAGAAAGTTATTTTTGCTCAATCCAGAAATATTGGAGAATGAATTTAGGATTATGTTAAAGAAAAGAACACCTAGGCTACTATAGTTCTTCCTTGACTCTCTTTGTTGAGTTTCTTCCTGAGGTTTTGTCCTTTGTATCAGCTCTTCTTCTTTCTTGACAATTCACACCACTATCTGCTGTGGACTTTCATGGTTGGCCTCAATTCACACCATTTGTTCTGATATCTTTTTTGCTTTCTTCTGTTTCTTGGTCTTTAGCAGTTGCATTGACCACCAGGAGGCAGACAGGACATGACTCTGTTTTTTTTTGGAAGTTTCTACATTTATCCTTAACAAATTATTTGATTTGATTTTGCAGTTCCTCGAATTCCCTACCTATGAAGTTCAGGATTTCAAAGTGATTCCTAGTATTCTCTTTAAAAATGATGGGTGTATGCTGCAGATCTTATTATGGAAACTAGTTGGCTTTGTTCTTCTACTATATTTGTCATGGAATTCACACATGAGCAGATTGTAATCTATTCTACAGTTGGTCTCTAGTTTTCCTTAGTAGCATGCTAAGTGTCACCTGACTTGAGGGGACTCATCATCCCCACAAGCACTTTATAATGTCTACCCTTGTATGTGGTAAAATATAGGAATGGTTTACAATTGTCTTATGCTGTGCAGGAT